GGCATTTCTTCTCATTCTAGACCCTCCCAACCTTACTATCTTTAAAAAAATCAATCTGCAAGATAGCCCTATAATGATTCCCTATCTACATGTTTAACTAACCTTTCGTGGAATTAAAATTAATTTAGATTGTCATTATTTCAATACAATAATTAAACAAGTTTATTATAAAAATTATAAACTGAACCTATTTATAACATTTATATTTAACATTAATAAATATTATTAGTTAACTTTTGTAACTTTGGTTGTGCAGTGTAATTTGTATGTTTTATTTTTAAGTATTCTAAATTGAGATATTCAACAATAAAAAAATTTAAGTTTACTTTCAAATGTTGTTAACATAATAATTTAATGTTAACATAATTTAACATTAACAAAAAAATCCAATTCAATTTAGAACACTTATATTCATAGAGAATTTAAATGAATACTAAACACAATTTAAAACTTACCAAACATAATCCAACGATGACAACAGGCCTGATGTGATGCTGAATTAGGGTTTATTATTTAATTTTGAATTTTAAATTCTCATATTTTTATAGATTTTTAAGTGTATTTATGTATGTATGTTAGTGTATATGTGTGTAGGGTGTATAAAATGTTAGTGTATAAGTGTTATTACAAGTTTTAAGTTAATTTAAGTTATGATTAAGTTTAATTTTAGATAAAGTTAAGTTGAAATTAAGTTAAAATTAAGTTAGATTATTATCAAAAATTAGATAAAATTTAAGAAAATTTAAGTTTTTCGTTAAATTATATGTAATTAAGTTAGAAAAGTTTAAGTAATTTAAGATAAAATTAGGTTTAAGATAATTTAATTAGATTTTATGTTAAATTATATAAAATTTAAGATAGTTTTTTAGATAAAGATGATAGTTTTAGTAGCTTTAAGTTAAAATTAGCTTTAGTTTAGCGGTTTATTAAACCAAACTAGTTTTAGAGGCTTCTCAAAATTAGAATTAGATTTAATTTAAGTTTAGATTTAGCGCTTAAGTAACTTTAAGTAGGTTTTGGTGATTAAATTAGATTAGATTTTTAAGCTTAAGTAGGTTTTAAGTTAGATAATTAGTTGTAGGTTATTTTAAGTTTAATTATTGATGAATTTAGCAAGATGCTGAGGATTGGCGAGGATTTACAAAACTTCTTAAATTATCTTCAATTGATGGCAAAATTTAATTAAAATGTTTCTGATAATTCTTGAGGATTTATTATCTCGATTTGCTAATCTTTGTTTATTAATCTTGATGTTCAGTGACCAAAATGGCGTCCGTTATTTTGTAGAAAAATCTTCTCTTTCTATTAATTTTTTTTTTTCTCGATGCCGCTTATTTCCAAATAAGTTCAATTATAGTAATTAGCAAAATCTCTTATTTAATATAACGGAAATTGTTTGAAAAAATTTCGTTTCCGTTTTATATGTATGTATGTATAATATGAAAATTTTATTTTCAAATAAAAAAAAAATGAAGTACAAATTTTTCAATACATACAAAAGTTTGTATAAAATTGTTATTGGAAAATTTTTAAGTATTTGAAACCCAATAAACAATTTGAAAACCCATAGCCCTCACACCCTTTGCCAACAAACTCGACACGCTTGCGTGCTCACCCTTAAGTAAAAGTCTCCATCTAAACCGGCACTAAGATTTTTTTGTAGGGTGGGCAGCTCGTGACGAGTTTCACTAGTTTTAGATGGAGACTTTTATGTCTTTTGCTTACAAACTCGTCATGCTTGAGAACCACCATCAAAAAAAATAAGCTGCAAGTTAAATACCACGCTTCATTTTGATGTTATTTTTAATGTTTTTGAAGCATACTAATGTTTTAATGATCAACATTTTAGGTTTTTGTATTTTTTTATATATATTACTCTTTTATTGCTGGCTAAATATACTTCATTTCAATATATTTTTATTCTTCACAAGACGAAATGCAACACTGATAACTGCCGACGCGACTAAAGTTGCTGAACTTTTCGCGGCAGATGCGTTACAAACCGCATTGTGTAACTGATTTAAGCTTGTGTACATCCTCCTATCAACTTAACCTAAGCTGGAGGTCCGCACCACGCGTGCTACACTTTTTCGCATTCTACGCGGCTGTCAAAAAAGTAGAATCAATGTTGTTGTGTGCTACAAGTTACACGCACAAAGGCGTAAGATACATTGACACGTAGAATGCTTAAAGTAAAGCTACTTTCTACTTTTGTAAGCGTCATAAGCTGCACACGAATATGTCAGGTGATTTTGACAATTTATATTTTATTTTGAATGTGTATTTATCAATTTTAAATAAAAAGCGCGAAGTTCTTTATAAATAAAGCAAAAATTGACGCTTAAGGGGCGTAGCATGTAACTTGATGCGTAGGATGCAAAGAAGGTATGAAAAGCACGAAATGCTTTGCCGCGTAAGGTGGAAGTACAAAACATGCGTTATACGTGGCAACGCGTTATAGGCTTCTGTCAAAAAACTTTTTCCCCCTGGGCTTTTCTCAATTTTCTTTTAAACGCCCTTCGTAAAATCTTGAATGTTTACATTGAGACTTTTAAGGCATGCCTGCTTTTTGAAATTATGAGTGCAAGAGTTGCCATTTTTTATAATTCTTAATTTATTGTTTTAAATATTTTAGAAATGAATAAATCTATTTCTTTTATGTTAGTTATATAAAATATTGTTTTAATTATTTAAGTTAATATTTACATAAAAAAATTTATGAAAAAATACTAAAATACTATAAAATACATATTTTTGCTACTATTAGCTGTATGTTTTAGTTCTTCTTATAGTTATTTATTTTTTATTAAAGATATAATAACATTTTAATACTCATAACATTTGAAAAAAATAAATTATTTTTAAATTAATTGAAATATGTAAAAAATTAAATTATTGCAAATGGCAACACTAATTCATGTGTGAGAGTAGTCGCAGACGATTTTTACGCTGTGAGAGCAGAATAGAAATAAAGTAACTAGCAAAATCACGAACATGAAGGAAAAGCCAAGTCGAAAAAAACCCTCAAATTACGATTCGTGCGTGTCTTGCTACTTCCCTTTCTTCTTTCCCCTCTTTATCATACCCGTTAATAACCCCGTGTCTATATTAGACAAATATTTATTATGCTAAACGTCAAATTGTTATCATAATAAAAAATTAGCAGGTACAGACGGCATTTATTAGCGTTATAACGACGTTATGACAGTGTTGTCTAAACAATTGTTTAGACAACGTTGTCTTGAAAACAAACGTCATTTTATTGTAAAATTTGTTTAGAAATTTGTTTTTGCGCAATTAAAATTGATTTTTAACATAAGTTTTAGTGAAATTAGTGTTTATTTACAAAATTTGCATTTAATTTTAATTGTTTTTATAAAATATAGCATTATTTCCATAAAATTATCTGTGAGTTGTCGTGATAAAATCAGCGTTTTGTTACCCCTATGTATTAACATAAACAAAAAACTGACAATTTTTCTGCCGACGTTTTGTCAAGTGCCGTGATAAATATTTGTCTAATATAGACACGGGCTAAAACAACCTTTTGATAAAACAGCAAACCCTAACAGCTGTTTTTGATTGTTGTGTGGTGAGCAGAGATACAAGCCGATGGGAAATGAATGGCGGCGGCGGCGCAACCATTTTGGGTCGGCGGCGGCGGCTTATTACAGAAAATATCGGCGGCGGCTAAATTGTCGGCTTAATTTAATATTTTCTTTAGAAATTGACCTTATAAGGTTTATTATATTGGAAAATCTTTGTATAATAGTCTGTTACATAGAAACCTGTCTATATAAGTTTTTTTCTGCAAAAAATGGACATTTATAGTAGTTTTCACTATTTTAATATTAGCACAATATTGTGTGGCAACTCTTTTCAATTTGCCATAAGAATTTAAAATAGTGGCATCTCCATTCAATTTGGTGAAATTATGTTCTGAAATACATGTGTGATTCTAATCTTTATCAGCGGCTACGTTTAAGCCACCTTAGCTTTAGAGCCGAAAGAAGGCGGCGGCGGCGCGGCTTTCAAAATATTACCGGCGGCCGGCCACCGCCGATTTGAGCCGTCTCGGCTTGTATCTCTGCAAGCGGCTTGACAAACATACCAATATTTTACGTTTGTGCAATCCTGTTGTGTAGTGTATGAGTGTGTTTCGTGTTTGTACAAATGCTTGCTGTTTGTTTGTACAAAAATTAAAAAATTTTGAATTTTACACAAATATATTGAATTTGTGTCAAGCCATTTGTATGGTTTATACTCAATAATAAAAAATTTTTCAACAAATTTTCATTTCTAAGAAAAATTGACATCAGTATCTTTAAAAGTCCACAAAAAACGTGAAAAAATCGGTGTTTGTACGAGCAATGTTTGTGTAATGTGTGTGCGAATGAATAAAATATGTTTGATAAGCCGCTTGTCACAGGGTATAAAGAGGCGTCACGAGCAAAAAACTATTTCCCTCTCTTTCGCACAAAACGAATTCAATAATTTTTTTTAGCTGTATTTTATATACCTCTTCTCACCAAACAATTTCAAAATCAAACAAAAGCTGATTTTAGACTTTTTTAAATGTCAAAAGTGACACCTCTGTATACTTTGTGCGCTTGTGTAGTCTATTTGGGCCTTTAGTACCCCAACATTTTTTTCAGACCAAGTCGGCAACGGAATTTTGTCTCATTTTGGTGTTTGAAAACGTATTATAAAAATAATAGTGGGTTAACACTGGAAAACAATAATTTAAAAAACGGTAACGACTTGGCTTTGGTTCATTTCAATAGCGTTGTTTTAGCAGCAACGGTATCAGAGCTAAAAGGATATGGTGGCAGTAACGATAGCATATGTTTTATTTAAAAAATAAACACATGAGTATATTTACATAATGGTAAAATAATAATAATTTTAACTTTTTTAAAAGACCAAGCCGAAATTTAGCCGCCGCCGAATTTTTTTCGAATGAGCTATCGCCGCCGACTATAAATTGCCCATTAGCCGCCGCCGAAAATTTTGGCTCGGCTTGTTTCTCTGATTTGAAGCGGGAAATTTAATTTGCATTTTGACATTTTATAAAAGAAAGAAAACAATGTAAATTAATATAAATTTACTTTTGAAGAAAAGATATTCGTTGCACAAAATTTAATTCACAAATAAATAAAAATGATGAGCAAAACGCAGAGTAATAATGAAAATGGAATACAAAGTATGTATTGAACAGGAAAGTATCATACACACAATAAATAAATAAATAAATTTTTAGATATGAGACAACTAACTAATAAAAATGGCGACTCATGCAGGAAGCATCAGATAAAGAAGCAAGTTTTCGGTGAAATTAAAAATGTTATTCATAATCAGGGTAATGCTACGCCTTTAAAGCAAGATGCTCTAATAAATAAGTGCTCGTCCTCCAAGTATTTGGCCAATAACAATGTTCAAAGTAAACGGTACATCAAAAATGAATCTAAAAGCACAACTAACTATAAATATCAAAAGGCAAACTTTTTATGGAACAACGTACTTGACGAAAATTTTCTTGATTATTTTGATTTTAGAGGACAATGCTGTTCAAAACCTTATAAAAGTAAGTAACATGTACATTAGAGGATGTAAAAAATATAGATTTTGCTCAGATGGAAAATAAGATTTGGTCAGAATTTTAAGAATATACAATTTTAACGGCACAATTTCTTAAGAATTTAAAAAAAGTCCTATTATTTATCCAATTTTACACTTTAATCGAAATCCGGCACGGGTTCTCGTTATCAGGTTTGACTAAAATTTAACACCAGTTAAGACACTAATAATAAACTAATCTGGGAAAAATCTAAATTTTTTGTACAACTCTAATGTACATACATATGTATGTATGTATGTATGACAAAATTATCTGCATGGATTTGTATTTCTTTTGTTTTAAAATTGCGACAAGATTACACTATGTGACACTCTGAAACACTCATTACCAGTGAGTGGATCATTTTACCATTTTTAGAATATGATTTTTGATAAAGTCTGGGTCAAAAATTATCGTAAATCCTAAAAAAATTAAAAAAATATAAAAATTTGTATTTAGATCTAAATATTCTACACATTTCCGTAAAAAAGGAACAAAGGAAACTCTTTTCAAAACAGTTGAAAAATATTAAATCGGTTAAGAAAAAATTTGAGATATCATTTTTTTTTTGGTCAGTCTTGCCAACAAAAAGCGTTTTTTTTTAATATCTTCCGATTTTTAGGTTATATTGGAGATTCTAAAAATGGTACTGTAATCTACTCTACTAGACCTACCAACTTCACTAGGTGTCGCGATGAGTGTATTGATTTTTTTGTAATTTTGTCACACCGTGTTATTAATGATGAATTTTTCCACGTGATCTGAAAAATGTCACTAAAACCAAAGCAACTGATGTATTTACATAGAGCATTGGCACACGTTCAATATGTCCCAGCCAAAAAAGTGTAGAAAAAGATGTAGAATTTTCATCACAACTAGTAATCCGAAGTGCTTCAAATTCGGGTGTAAAACCTATGAATTTTGTGTCATTGGAGGGATGTTGTTCATTTTTGGCAACTTTGAACTACATCTGATCTTATTTTTAGAAGCAGTAAAAATCCGATATTTGGATGTCAAAAATAAAACACATTCTCTTAATGACACGCTTATGTAAATTTCACTACTCTTTCACCAAATCTTGATGTACTTCAAATATGTTATTTGTAATGACGTTTCCACATCTCTTTCCTCACTTTTAACTGGGGTTTCATTTGTAAGGAAATATTTGGTTTATAAAAGTGAAAAATATGTAATCGCATTTTAAGATGTGATTAAGATGTAGTTTGTAAAGTATGACATCAATTATTTTTTGCTGGGGTGTTAATCAATTTAGATCACGACACATTTTAATTGATTGATGAAAACTTCGGGTATGCTACACGTTCAATATTTATTATTTCAGTGTGGCCTCCGGTAGGTTAGTGGTTAGTGTTCTAGTCTGGTAGACCGGAGGTGGTGGGTTCGATTCCCACCTGAGGCACTGGTTAAGGAGCGCACAACAGGCCCTATAGAGGCCTAGGTGTATTTTTTCGGATCTGATGTATATACATCCTCCTTTCAAACTAACTAACTAACTATTACTTCAGTAGCCAGCCAAAAAAGTGTGGAAAATGATGTAGTATTTTCATCACAACTAGTAACCCGAAGTGCTTCAAATTCTGGTGAAAAACATATGCATTTTACAATAGCGTGTCATTGGAGGGATATTTCATAGAAGCAGTAAAAATCCGACATTGGGATGTCAAAAATAAACCACATTCTTTCAATGCCACTCTTATGTAAATTTCACTGGTTTTTCACCAAAACTTGATGTACTTCAAATATGTTTGTAATGTCTTTTCTACATCTATTTCCTCATTTTTAACTGGATTTTCATTTGTAAGGAAATATATGGTTTATAAAAGCGAGAAATATGTAATAGCATTTTTGGATGTGATTAAGATTTTGTTTGTAAAGTATGATCAATTATTTTTTGCTGGGAACTAGTAACCCGAAGTGCATCAAATTCTAGTGGAAAACCAATGAATTTTACATTAGAGTGTCATTGGAGGGATGTTTTTAATTTTTGACAAGTTTGTACTACACCTAATCTTATTTTTAGAAGCAGTAAAAATCCGATATTTCGATGTCAAAAATAAACCACATTCTCTCAATAATACCCTTATGTAAATTTCATTACATAAAAAAGTCTTATTTTTAGAGGCACTAAAAATCCGGCATTTAGATGTCAAAAATTAACCAAATTTTTCCACTTTTTAACATTGAAAAGCTCAAAAAGACTGAAAATATAATGAATAATATTCATTCTTCAAGATTTCTTTTTGATAATTGAATAACCACACAGTTTGAAGAAGTAGTTTAATAGGATTCCGTTTTAATATATATATAAAATAAAGAACACATTGGTCCCCAAAAAAACCAAATTACAAACAACAGTTTGACACATTTCTTCCAATTGTATTCAAGCGCAGCAAAAAAGTGTGGAAAAATATGTAGTATTTTCATCACAACTAGTAACCCGAGATGCTTCAAATTCGGGTGAAAAACTATGAATTTTACATTAGCGTGTCATTGGAGTGATGTTGTTCATTTTTGGACTACATCTAATCTTATTTTTAAAAGCAGTAAAAATCCAATATTTGGATGTCAAAAATAAACCGCACTCTTTTAATGACACGCTTATGTAAATTTCATTGGTTTTTAATCTGAATTTGATGTATTTCGAATATGTTATTTGTAGTGAATTTTCTATTACTCTTTCCTCACTTTTCATTTGTAACGAAATACTTGGTTTATAAAAGCGAAAAATATGTAATCGTATTTTTAGATGTGATTAAGATGTTGTTTGTAAAGTATGACATCAATTATTTTTTGCTGGGTGGCTTATAAACTGTCCAGTGTTGTCATAGAATTAAAAATTGTTACTAGTTTTTTAAACGACAAAAATGCTTTCGTTTCATGGTATCCAAAGTTATAGGTTGTATGTCCCGATTTAGAATTTATTGCTTATTGAATAAAAAACTGTAACATAGAATTTCATGTGATTAATATATTTTTGCCGTTTTCAAACTATATCAACGATTTATTTTCAAAATTGTGAAACAGGCATTAAAAATTAAAAATAAAATGTATGAAAAAAACTAAAAATAAAGTTTTGAAATAAAGTTTTAAACTCATCAAAATATGTACTAAAAGTGTAAAATGTGCTTTAAAAACTCGAATGAAAGCCTTAAGTATGCTATTAAAGTCAAATAATGCAAAATTATGATATTTATTTATTTATTTATTTATTCAAACAAAGTAATATAAAAGCCTTCATAGGCCAATTAAACTATATTACAGAGGCAAATCCTGAATAGCATACATATAAAAAAAAATGATAATACTATTTATAAATATATACATATGAATGATATTAAAAATATAAAATCAAAATCTTAAAAATAAAATAATATGCAAAGGTAACAATTACTTATTGAAGTGAAACAAATGGCTCCCCTGCCAATCTAAATAACAAAAATTATAAAAGCAAAGTAAATTTGCCTCCCATAAGTGGTAATGAGTCATAAAATTAAAAGTGTATTACTCAATATATGTAGATGCTAGGAAAGAGTAATCATTATCTGATTAAATGCTTATGATTAAGTTAATAGTTTTAGTACAGTGTACTAGTACCGTCCCTGAAATTGAATTATTAGTCATGTCAGTTTTTAAAATACTAATACGTACATATGTACATATGTCTTCACAAAAGAGTTAGGGGGTTATTTCGTAAATCCCCTGCGTTGAACGCATCACCTACACTTCACATTCAAAAGTGAACGCTTTATCAAAAAAAGGAAATTTTACAAATCACTTCGTTATTGCGTTGGGTTATCACCTTTAACGACTGAATTGTGTCTTGGATTTAAATTATTAATCGCATATACAAACCAATTATCATAATCACAAACCCTTATATAATATAAAAATATATTTTTGACATATATTTTAGTCCAAATGTACTGGAAAAAATGGTTAATTTGAACAAGACCAGTTTTTCCGCTATTTAAGCATTAAACTGTATTGAAACAAGTAAAATACATTGTGGTTGATGGTATTACTGTTAGACATATGATTTGACATAAAACATTTCTGAAGGAAGCTTTTTCTACATACGTAGCTACTCGATCGCGTATTAGGTGAAATCTGGATTCCAACTTTATTGATACGTTGGAGCACCGTCGCCGAGTTCTATCGATATTACAATGGAATGACTTTAGCTATGTATATATATGAAGATTGTGTAATGTGGTCCACTCGTCATTCAGCTACAAAATCTGGATAAAATTCGTATATGGATATAAGTGCTCTAATTTCAGAGAAGCGAGTTCCATTGTAATATCAATAGAAATACGTACCAATTTGCCTCCTTTCCCGTACGAGGTCGAGTAGCTCCAATACCACAACTTTTCCATAAAGATATCTGTTACATGTACATAAGAGTGTACATTTCCACTTAAAAAGTTTATTTTATTAATTTATTCAATAAAATTTTAAAGCGAACGCCTGAATAAATTAGGCGTTCGATTTGGAGTTTCAAGTGTGTATTTTTCAGGTGATGCGTTTTATAAAATATAATTTTCTATACATTTTTCACAAATAACGAAGCTTGTGCACGTGTTTTAACGCAAACAATCACTTGTCATAATGAAGTGTTTTACAAAATACAAATTTAAAAATTGATAGGTGAAGTGAGGCGTAGGGATTTACGAAATTAGGCCCTTATACTGCTACACCTACAAAAATAACAAAGAAGAACATTGGTCGCCATATTCAATTACAATACTTCAAATTTATTATACAACAAAAAATAAACCCTGACCACCATATTTAAATACATCAACCCGCATGTTTAGTGAAAAAAAGAATTTTATAGGAATAAATAATAGTGCTAAAATATACAATAATTATGGGTAAAATATACAAAAATATGCACTAACAAATCAATGCCAAAATTCTTAAATTGGTCTGAAACGTATAAATTT